AAAAATCGCCCATTAATACATGTTTTGGTTATAAGAACTATAATATGATCGTGATAATCATAAGATTGATATATCTTAAAGATTATGTCCATTTTACGATTATCAGAATTAAATATATTGATTGGCGAAAATTATCATTATTATCAGTTGTGACAACCGTAAAATTTTTTCTGTGTATCATCTAAAGTAATTTCATGCAGCGCATTCGAATGGAGAAAGAATGGACGTGTTTGATGAACATATTTCCGATGATATTTTCTGTCAAATACTAAAACGATTTCCCTTCACCAACGTTTAACAATTAAATGCTATCTATATCTTTCTGAAAAGTTCCTAAAGTTCAATGTATTGCCACGATCATTATTTAATCAATGATTACAAAATCATTATTTCTGAATTTTATTAATTTATTAATTGCTAATCTAGCAATGAAAGGTTTTCATTAAGCGATTATTATTTTTAAGTCTCATTAAGCACGAGATTTCAATTTAATAATGATAGCTTATTCACGTTACGAAGCATTTGCTTCAATAAATAGAAGTGAAAATATTTACCCCATTTTATTCATGACTGGTTATATACGCGTGACTAATTGCCCATTTAGTTTGTTCGCTACGATTTGACGTCATCGCATTATAATAATCACCCTTTGGGTGCAGGCTATAATATCGCTTTGAATTAAAAACGGAAAGAAAGAATATATATATATATATATATATATATATATATATATATATATATATACATATATATATATATATGCTGTGTGTGTGTATATCAAAAAAAATTAAAATATAAAAGAAGTTAACATTTACATCATAATTATAATATTATTAATATAGAGATATGACACTAGTCTATATCTCTCTAATTTCAATATCGTTATTGTATCACTATATTTAGAAACCGTAAAAAACATGATCGAACAAATAGACGCTTTTTCGGTTAGTTATTCAAAGTATTCGAGCATAGTAAAAAAAATCCTGAAAAGATTTAATCGTGGATCAATTTAAGACCAGTACCACTACAACATAAGATTAACCTTGATTTAATTTACTCTTTACCTTTTTCTAATTCTAAACATTAAAAAGAAATAAACAATAAATTTTAAACTGAGATTGAAATTAATCTTACATTGATAGAATGGGTTTTTATATCTATTTCTAAATAATAAATAATGTCCCAAGCAGAACAATAAGTCATTATAATATCAAAATGATGTCAAAATGACTCCAAAATGATCATTAAAAGTCATTTTTCAATCATTTCCGATTCATTTTAATGTCATTTTGACGTTATTGTGACTTATTGTTCTGCTTCGAGTAGTTTAATTTTAATCTCGATTCGACGAACTCTTTATTTTTTTCTATAATTCAACACTGAAACAAAATATATATACTAAATTCTAATAAATATTTATTTGAATAGTATTAACTGAACATTTATTTACGATAAATAAATATTTACTAAATAAAAAAATAATAGAGTACAAACATCAATTTAATTCTTGTATCACATAAATATATGTTCATAAATATTCACTTAATACTATTTAAATATTATTTAAATATTTATTATAATTTGATACATTTTTCTCTATAAGAATAAGAAAAAGATGAAGAGTAAATTGAATCGAGATAAAGGACGGTATGTTTATAGTCCGTTCTTATATCAAAACTATCTTAAAGTAATGTCTTAAGACGCTAATACGTCGCTCTGATTAGTTCGTGACTTCTCAAGATTGTACTTAAGACGGTCTCGAATATAAGATCTGACTATGAACACTGACCAAAGAATCTACATTTGATAGAAACTAGAAATGGACACTAGAGGACACTAGAGGACTGTTTTTGAAGACTGGTACGCCCTCATGTATGTTAACATAACATCGCAATTAATTACGTACCGATCGAACGTAAAACGAAATCGATTATCCCTGGAGTAGATAACTGTGATTTACTGATGGTCAAATAACATACTACTATTACCATAGGTACGTTATTTATCATGCTTATTTATAATTTCCTGCCAGCACTGAAAATCTACTGTTTGCATTCACTACACAATAAAAAAATTTGTGTATTTGTGTTACGGAAACGGTTCACTCACGATTTTGTTAAAATTTTGTGTTGAATTTTTTAGTATATTTAAGTGTTAATTTAACATAATGTGATTATGTTATTTTAATTTTTTTATGAAATTGATATTCAATGTTTTCTTAGTTTTAAAATGACACAATTTGTGAGCAAGTAAACAAGTAACACAAAAATAATGTGTTTTAAAATGTAAATTCTACAGCAAATAAATAAAATACGTGTTAATTTAACATATCATAAATGTTAATTTTTTAAAAAAATATGTGTTCTCACGTTTTTTTTTACCAACTGTCGATGTTATCTTTCTTTGTATTTATTCTCTTACATAATATTTCTGTTACCTTCTAACATATTCATCTTGTGTAAAATTAACTCAAAAATTTGAATGGGGACCGTTTGGGATATGCGATTTATGTTAAGTTAAAAGATTGCAACACATTTTTTGCAACTGTGTATAAATTTTTAATACTGGGCCTGGGTCTCTATTTTTTAAAAGAAGCTTACGGATCCGTAAGTAAAAATCAATTGCTCGGTGAGACTGCATTCCAAAAACCATAAAAAAAAATCTGTTGCATCTTTTAGTCGGTGAATGTACGTTAAGCACTGATATGAATGTATAAAACACTTTAAATCTCCAAACCAAATTTCCGCTAATTAATTTTATATATATATAAAATTGATTAAATTGCAATTGCCTATTGTAACAGTTATAATTATTTCTGGTTGGTCAATATGATAACTTGTGCAAAATTTTTTGTATGATATAATATGTAAAATTATTCTATCTGAATTAGTAATATTGTCTGTGAATTAATAATATTGTGAGATGATAAAACCATATTATTAGTTATCAATTACTGTTTTAAGTATATAAATATATAAATATATGCTCTCTTTATGTCACTGTATTTAGCTTGATGACGCTATGATCGCATGATGAATTTGTCGTCTTATCTCTCAAAAACTGTATCCGGCATTAGATTTTCCATTAGATCGACACCGAAAAATCTCAAACTGTCAAAATTCGCGACCGGGGATTGTTATATTAATTCGTGAATTACTGGAACGTGGTAGCCTATGATTCTTTCTACCGTTACAAAATTGAACTCAGTGAATTCAATATCAATCCGTGATTATTGGTAAATGCATGTGTAAATACCTGCGATCTTGCACACATTGCATCCTGCATTTCCAGAGCAGAATATCCATGGCCAAGATAGCTGGTTCCTTTATTCGATCACCGTTATTCGATTAATACACCATACAACATGACATACGATACACATTTACAACACATTACATTTGAAGATTTATCGCGTCACTACTCCAACATGCTCCTACTTGCTCCAACCGTAGCTCCTACTCACTTTAACGAGCGCCTTTGAAGCATGCTGGAGTATGCGACGCGAACAAACTTTCAGATCATACACCTGTATTCCCATCATCTGCGCTGTATGTATACACGAAAATCTCTTTTAGATGACGGTAACAATAGCAAGAGGCACACGGAGCAACTTAAACGCGAGTACGCACTCCGTCCCGACTGTCTACTGTTTCGACTGTCTACTGTTTAGATTGGGCGCGCAATTGCAATCCCGTGAAATTTCAAATCGAGAGACTGAGGGAACCAATCACGTCACTGCGATTGCGCGCACTTATTCAAATTTCAAGGAGATGCTATTATAGAGTTGCCAGATCTATTCAAAAATTATTATATATATTGAGATTTTCTCAATACTTTAAATATACTTTATACTATAATTTAGATCAATATTTATTTGTATTTTCTTTCTAAAGTCCCAAAAATTCTCCTAAATGTCTTATACTCCCAAAAAATCTTCAGTAAAAAGAAAAATCTTTAAATTTAGGAAATCCTGCCAACTTAGTAATAAAGTGCTATTACCGTTATTTCTATCATTCCATCTTTATCATTATGTTGCCTTATCTTTACCATTACATTGCACTTACGATTAGTATGATGCTTGTTGACATTTGAGATCCGTTCTTTTTAATTCAATTGTACGGTTTATCTTATCTATTTTTTTCACACAAAAGAGAAAAAGAGAAAAGTATAAACTATACACACACACACACACACACACACACACACACACACACACACACACACACACACACACACACAGAAGTTCAACTAAAAAGAACAGATCTTGAGCTTTAAAAAAAGAAAGAGAGAACGAACGAGTGAGTTAAACAATTAGAAATGTTTCTTTAATAATTAAAATTCAAGAATGTTTTAATAAATAGAAAAAAAAATTTCTCTAAAAATTCATCTAATGATAAATATAATTGTTTCACAGATATTGTAAATTTAATTAAAATATGAATGGACTCTAATCATGGGAATTATTTAACATAGAAATAAAATTCAAAAGATCATAAGGAAAATAGATGAGAAAATTGTATTCCATAGTTTTAATAAAACTCTTTAGTAGAAATCATTGTAATACAATTTAAAGCTTGATTAGAAAAATATTTGTCATAAAATATCTACGTTTTTAAGACATCTTATGAATCATAAATATTGTAAATATAAATTGAGAAAGATAATGATAAGCACTATCTCGCGAGTTATCATAAAAAAAATTTTATTTATAATTGGATCTGTCAATTTTTAGAAATCAAGGATACTGTATGACTTCTTCAATTTTAAACTTAGAACTTTTAAATATAAAAATTGAAATTCTTGGGGCAAAATTTGATTGTTTTATTTTTTAAATTTGAACAAATATTTTCGATAGAATTGATTGTTAATTTTTTATATTATTCTCGGCAAAAATAATGTTATATTTAAAAAAATCTTTCATTACTGTGTTATATAAATGTATGGCAGTATTACTATTCGCATATGAAAGAATGGGAAAAGTATTAAACATACAACATATATAATGTACTTAAAGTGAATTTTATTAATTCATTGATTGTTTATCTAACAAAAAAGCGAAGGATTCGCATCTCTAATTTTCACTAAGCATAAAATTTTACATTGATAGTAATGCATTTGGAATATTGCGCACATGTTGGATTTATTTAAGCGCATTACGGATCTATTATCACCTTCAACATAGACTGTCCTTGACATGATTATTAATTAACAGGTGCAAGGCTTGCATGTACATTTTCCACCCTGTGTCTTGCAGTTACATTGATCTGTAAAAAAAAAATATTTATTTATCATAAAGGCGAAGGTTTAAATTTTTCTATAAAAAAAAAATAAAAGCAGCCGTTTATATAAAATTTAATAAATAGGCTTTAAATAACTCTTTAAAAATGTTGACTATTCTTCTCATTTTTTGCAAATAAAAATTTTAAATATTACTACTTTTTGCTATTTACTATTTGTCAATAATGTAAAACAACAAATTATGAAAATAACAAAGGAAAATATAAAATATACAAGAATGAAAGAACTGAACAGAAAAGGAATGCAGTGTTCCGGGAAACCGTGACTCATTACGTATAATGATCGAAATGACCGTAAGTATAGCATAGAAGCTTCGAATAACATCACGTGTAACTGCGCCGTACAACGAAATTGCATCACAAGTCCCGCGGAACTGCGATGTACAGTGTTAAGGGATATTAGCAGGCGTCGACGGCGGCCGTTATTAATCGGTCATTGTCCGGGATGAAAAATAAAAAATAGTACAGTTACTAGGTGGCGCACGTTCTCGTTCATCGATTCTGCTTGGAAAAAGAGACATTCCGATGCGTATTGTGAAAACGAGTTCGACAGCTTGTAACTGGCCGTAATTAAGAATAATAACTCGTTAGAAAGGCATGACGAGCAAACAGTGAAATGCGCAATTGGAAAAGCAAGTGCACAAAATATAACATTTCTAATATAAATATTACCTTTGCATCCGGAATCGCAGCACGAGCAGTTATCACCGCACTTGCAGTCCTGGCATTTGGCTGTAATAAATTAAAAAAATTATTTTAAAAATTTCAAAATAAATTAGAATTCATATGAAATTATAGAATCCTATTTTTTGTCAAAGCGGACATCGGTATTTAATAATATATTTCTAAATGCACATATAAATTTACAAATGCATTTTTCAATTTTTCTATGAACTATATGTCAATTCGGTTTGTCGAATTTAAAACACAATTACAAATTAGAAATAATATATAAAATTACATTGGCTATCAATTTAATAATGATGTTAATAGTCTCTTAAAACACTGCAGCAATGAACTTGGAAAATAGAATTCTTTTTCTTATTTAATTTATTCTTATCGGTCTAATTAAAAAAAAATATTTTTGTAAATTTCGACCTATAATTGTTTAGAATATATTAAATATATTTAGAATATACATATTTTATATATTAGAATATATATACACATATTAGAAAGAATACAATTCTAGGCATATATATTTTTAAGAATCCACATTATTTAAGAATCGTGTATAACATTCAACAATTATTCAACAAGATATTTCAATAATTCAATAATTAATCAACTGTCCTTTGACCATACATTGCTGAATAAATGATAATTATAAATCAATCGCGTGATAGCTTAAAAAACATTGATCTGTTTTCTGAATATATATTTTTCACTATGCCTCAATAATTCCTCTAAAGAGCAACAATAATAATTGAGGAAACGTCATGTTAAATTTTCTATTAATGTTCATTAAGCATTTATAAGCATACTTACTCTTGCATTTATCGCAACCTGGTCCCGGCATTTTGGTCGGCTTTAGCTTATCGCTTCACAGTCGTAACTTGAACTTTCAGATAATGCAGCGGAATGCTTACTCGCCGGTAGAACGTCGTGGCTTCGAATTTATCGATCGTTCCCCACCATGGTCGGGGGCTTGGTTCCGAGCGGTTTGACAAGCGCAATGTGTCGCGTGTGCAATCGTCAACATGCGTGCTATGCGCAATTTCTCAGGGCCGTGTGACTCCAGCGAATTTTTCTATCAGGTTACCGATTAGGATGATGCAGAAAGAAGTGTTATCTCTATTCAGTCCCAACATTCCTGTAGACATTTTTTAATTTGAATTAATGCGCGTTTATGTCTTAATCCTTAATACAATGTTAAAAAACATTTGTTATTATCAAATGCAAAATTAATAGTCATAAAAATCAAAATGTTAATATCATACGAGCGAATCAATTCATAAACTCAAAATTCATAAACATTAAAAATTACATATAAAAATTAAAATGATATCAAATAAATTTAATCAGCAGATTTAAGGATATACTAACTTCGGATATCTTAACTTTTATGACTTATTGTCTCTAATAAATTTAATTTAACGTACAGTCATAAATTGAATATTATTTTGTATGAATAAATCAGGTATTTAATGTAAAATAAATTTAGATTCGTAATAAAAAAAGCAATTGTAGAAAATAACTTATTTGCGATCTTCATTTGACGAACAATATTTATAAATTTTTACACATTTTTACGATGATTGACCGGTGTCTATGTTGTTGTATATGTATCAGGAAGTAACACATTATGTAAGATCAAAAAAGTTTTCAAGTCCGACATATCAAGGGCGCTCAAATCACGCCAACAATACATGTCCTTGTATTCTCTTTCCTGATTGTCTAATTAAAAATTCAGTGCGATATTGGCATACATCTCGAAGGTATTATTGATTCAAGATCGACAGCCCTGTCGACATTATCAGTAGAAAACCAATCACGAGAATTGTAAGAACGACGCAGTACTGTTGCACCATATTGATAACGAAGGAGAATCTTCTACATTCTAAATTCTGAAAACCGCGCAGTTGATAAATTCTACACACTCTTCGAAATCTTTCCATCGGGCTTTTTCACCTTTTTGTCATCTTTGCGCCATTTTTCCATAGTAAATTTTACGTTTCTCGTAAAATTGTTCTTGTCGAGCTTCGTTCGTAATAATTCCCACTAAAAAGTCTTCCGTGTTTTCTTCTCGTTCTTATTTTACATTAGAGGTCTATTTTGTCTAGCGATGTGTGTAATATTATCTCAAATTTCTTTGCAATTGTAATAACGCTCAATATAATGTTAATATTAGGATGATAAAACTTGAGAATCAAATAGGTAAATTTGCTATTAGATAAGAGTGAAAATGTGTGGACTTTTGACGTTATTTCTCTTCATTATATCCATTTTATCCGCATACTATTTCAAGAAATAGATTTGAATTCGAAAAAGAGATTTAATTTTTCTATTATCTCCGATATCACAAGAAAATCAACTTATCACAAAATTATAACTGTGATCAACTGTTTCGAAAGATTGCTTAATCTTGCAAAACAAAATGATATGCAGTAAAATATAATGATTTTACAACACAATGCAAAATAATTGGTAATCCGAAAGAATAATTACAATTTAATAAAATTGCACATTTAATAAAAACTTAGATAGTCAATACATAAAAAAATTATAATTTTTCATAAAAACAAATTAACATGGCGTTATAGAATGTTTTCTTCTGTAGAACTTCGGGTTAGTCCATGTGTTTAGATTGATTTTGTACCTCCTAAAATAATATAATACAAAATTTATATTTAAATATATATGTGCACGTGTGTATCACATTTTTTATCTTTTCTTTCAAAAACGAAGATCAGAAAATTTGGACTATATAATATTATATTGTATTACATATAAATAATGTTTATTTCTTATATTATTTTTCTTACTTACATATTTTTATATACAATATAATGCTTAAAATTCCTTTAGTCTTCATTTTTGAAAGAAAACGTAAAAAATCCTAGCTAGAAACTTTTGCACATTATTTTGTATATATCAACTTGATCAAAAATTTTAAACACATATTTTTCCATTCATCTGGAATCTTTTTACCTGCGGTTATCTATTGTACTGAAAAAAAATTTACTGATTTTATGAAATATTTGATAGGTACTAACGAAATATTTACTTACAATAAATAAACATTTAAAATAAAAAAAATTATACTTAAATTAAATAAATATTTGTTTACATTTAGTAAATTCGTTAGTACTATTAAAACAAATATTTAATAAAATTCAATACATTTTTTTTCAATGTGATTATCGACATTATGTATAAGTTTAAAAGGTTCTTGAAACAAAGAATAATTTATAGCAATAAAGAATAATTAATATATAATAATTTAAATGTCATAAATTTTTTAGCTAAAACTTTAAATAATAAAGCGTCAAAAAAAGAAATGATAAAACCGAATGATTTCATTGTATAATACAAAAAAAAAGATCTCATACGAAGGTGAAATTGAATTTATAAACTAAGATTCAATAATACATATATATATATATATATATATATATATATATATATATATATGTATTATTGAATCTTAGTTTATAAATTCAATTTCACCTTCGTATGAGATCTTTTTTTTTGTATTATACAATGCAATCATTCGGTTTCATAATTTCTCACTTTTAGATTTTCTGTTTCTTCTATCTAAAAACAATTTTTAAATCATTACTAATACGTTATTTTAAAATTAACTAACTAAATTTTTGATACATGAATTATTGCATACACGTGAATGCGATGGATAATTGTAATGCATTTTTGGATGTAAAAAGTTATCGGCAACATTTTCATCTCCTATTGTCCCAGTCAACTTCTGAAATATAATGTGAGATAAATTTCTAATACATTGCAGAAGATCTTGCGTATTATATTTACATATTTATTATAATATTGTTATTTACCTTTTTTGGTTTTGGAGAGAGCTGAAGTTTCATTTTTGAATTGGACAATTGTGTAGTCTTTTTTTTAGGTGTTAATAGCATTTTATCTGTTATAGGTTTCAGATTTTTAATCAGATGGGACTCAGCGCCTTTTATGTACATTCCAACTGGCGATATTACATGATCATAATTTCCTATTTGTCGATAAATGTTCTTTGCTTGAGGACTTACATGCTTGTTTTGCTTATTCATTCCCGGTAGTAAATTGGGAAAGTACGTGCGTTTTGGCTTACAATTCTTGTTAACAAGTGTCTTTCCAGGAGTTATAAATAATCGTGGCTTTGTAGCAACCGTTTTTTTTGTCGACGAAGGACTAATACTCTTCTTTCTCGGTGAAGGCTTCGGTACTTGTAAAGTTTGCTCATCCTCTAATACGACTGATAGCGCGCAAATATCTTTGTTGAACATTTTCTCGGCTTGGAGATCTTGTCTGTCACAAGGAGTGCGAGGACTGCTCAATCTTGTTCGATGAAATAAATTGAGCAAAGATTTGTACTTTTCCAAATAATCTTGATATTTCTTTACACTCATGAGAGTTTTCATTAATTTATTGTCAACCTCAATCGAAGAATCGTTGATATTTGGATGAATTTCTTCCATCGGCTTGAAATTTTCGTCAATTTCCATCACTATCTTTGCTGTGTCGAGGCACCTCTGTCTTTTTTTCGCAATCTCATACATGACCGTACTCTCAAAATCGTTCGTTTCGATCATTTCTTGACGCTTACCATCTTCTGTTTGCTGCTTAAGTATATCAAGTACTGCCTCCGAATCCATTCTATCGTACTTTTCATTTAGTAACAATCTATATTCCAGATTCTCTTCAGATAATTTATTGTGCTGGTATGTTGAGTCCAAAGTTCCACACATTCCAGCTTTTTTTATCTGCTCATGAATGATAGGTGAATTTTCCAGAGAGGCCATTTGGTTTTCACAGGTACGCAAGATATTAGCCATATTTTGTAAAGGAGACTGTGACAAATTCTTCTCCCTTGGGACAGTATAGTCATTATCAGGAAATAACTTTTTGCACATCGTTTCTAAACTTTCAAACGTATTTGTATCGTTCAATAAATTTTTCGTAACATAGGAAGTATTTTTTGACATACGCCAACACGCTTTCTTGGGGCTTTTAGTATTACATTGGGAAGAAACAGGCGTTGTAAAATGTAGGCTATCTGGAGATAAAGCACTCAGAGATTTTCGCAAAAGAATGTTAGACTCTTGGCTTTTTCTTTTCGTACAAATTGGTGTCGACATACCAGGAGACTCTGGCCATTCAGGAACGGTCTCGTCCTCTAGAAATTTACGCATTTTTCGAAGTTCTTCATTAAATCTAAATAAACTGAGTTCTGGATATTGTGACTGTGCATGAGAATCGTTATTTATAACAGATTCTTCGATTATCGTTAGTAAATTTTCTGTAAAGGCTTTTGGTGCATCGTGGTAATCTACAGATAAACGCCTTAATAAACGTTGTTGCACAGCTGTTTCTTTCAATAGCTTTTGATCTGCCAATGACTGTAGCAATGTTTTTAACTCAAAAGGACCAAGTTCGTCTTTGGAACTCACTTCGCTGTTTGAATCAAGCTGATTTTCTTTTGAAGAATCATCTTTTCTGTTTAATAAAACAGAATGTTTTGATAATGATAATGCTTCAAAAGAAGGAACGACTATTTCAACTTCCTTGCAACTTATTTTTTTCATTGTATTTTTAATAGGAAAAGAAAGCCGGTCACCTTTAATATTGTAATTCCTATCCCTCCTCAAAGCTTTATCAAGCACAGTGTAACTTTTTGATCTTTTAAGTTCTCGATTAAGTATTATATTTCTCAGTGACTCTGCTGACATAGAACGTGGTCGATTATTAAGGTCCTGTTGTCCCATGAACTTTTTATTTAAATTACAAAAATTAATGTCTTGGCTGACATTAGTTTCAAATAGTGTAGAACTTAATTGTTTTTTAGCACCATCATATTCATTATTCAGGTATTCATTATTAAATAAATTTATACATTTATTCAAGTCTGGTTTGATTGACAAATATGATGTTCCATCTGATACAATCAATGCATCATCTATCAACAAAGGATGCCTGTTTTTACATGCTATATTATAGCTTTCCTCAGCAATATTGCACGAATCTGAGATAAATTGCTGATTGGTTGAACTACCAGCTAGAATTACAGACTCAACACAAGATGTATTCTCCGAACAGCTATGTTTATGAAATTCATCTGATATCTGATTTGATTCATCCTTATTTATTGTTTGACCTGCAAACATGCATATTTATATATAGTGTCTTCTATTTAATGTCAATTAAGTCGACACTAGTATCGTTTTGTCTTTATTGGAGTGCAAAGAAAGATAAAACAATTGTGTCGACTTGTGTCACTAAAAAGATAAAACTTTATACATTTAAATTTGAACATATTATAAAACTATAATAAGATTATTAACATATTCATAACTATAATAATTTACATAAACATTGATGTTTATTGGCAAGAATAGTGTAACATAATGATGGTTAAGTCTGTTCTTTTCCATACCAGGACTGAAACTCTTGCATGATTCATCTTTCTTCTTTTTTTTATATTGGAGAAAAAAAGACAAAACGAACTGCAAAAACATTCATTCCTGAGATAAAGAAAAGAACACTTATTATATCTTTATTATTTACCAATGGTAAATAAGGATGAAATAATTCACTTATGTTACACTACCTTTGCTGGAAAACAAAGATATAAAAATTAATTCCATTACTTTAAATACGAAGCGCCACTACAGTCCGAATGTTAAGATGTTGAACTATTATAAAAATTAATTTTACTAAAAATTTTTTTCGATACAGTAAATATATGGTTATTGATTGCCTCCTCATTTTTATATAGAATACTTATGTATATTATATAAAAATAGAAAGGTATATTAAAGACCACATATGTATATAGACAGTAATTAATTACACATACAATATATACAGTCTTGATACAAAATATTGGACACTTTATTAGCATTTAAAATTTTAGATAAAAATTTATAGCATTTGCTATAAATTATCCTTTGTTTCAAGAACCCTTTAAGCCTATTTTACAATGTGCTCTTTGTTTCCTGTTTTTGTTTTTTACCTTTTGTTTTTTTTTTCCTTTGTAATCATTTTATCGACAATTGTATTTCTTGCTACATATTTCTTGTTTCATTCGAAGTTCATTAACTTTTATCTCGGGTGATATAAAACAAAAAAATGAATAAAAAGCAAAAAAACAAGATGTAAATAATAGCAAAAAGCAAGAAACAGAGAATAAAAGCACATTGTAAACAATTTTTAAACTTGTGTATAGTGCCAGTAACCAATAAGTAACAAAGCAAATAAAAGAATTAGAATCTTTAGAAGAATGAAAAAAAATGCCTAAAATTTTTAGTCAAAACGGTATAATAGGATTATGTGTAAAACTACAATAGATTTCACTTATAAATACTGACTATAAACACAATAAAGAAAACATTATCGCAAGAAAACATTATCGTACTTACGAAAACTATTTAAGGAATCTGCAAAATTATGGGCACGTCTCCGTCGAATGCTCATTTTAATTTCTTAGAAAATATCTGCTACGTACAACAGTAATAATGTGAAAACAGAGCAATTCGCTCGAAAAGTCAGGAATTCAAGAGAACGTGACACCCATAACGGCTCGAGTACGCTTACATTCTACTGAAACTGAACTTGTTTTCGAATGATCAATGGTACCAACATATTCGATCACGTGATAACGTAATTAAGCCCGGATCCTCATACGGGCAACAGCGCTTTGGCACAGAGCGCTGTTGTTCGGTGTTAGAACGCTGATTGGTGAAAAATGGATAATGAAAGTAAATTTTACTCCACAACAGACTTTTCACCAATCAGCGCTCTGTGTCAAAGTGCTGTATGAGGATTCGGGCTAAGAGGTTTGTTCCATAAACATAGCCGACGGCACATGATGCTTGTTTTCCTGCTGGATTGCTAGCTGAATTAAAATCTTGACACCATTTAGCTGCGATGCTGGCACTGATAACATGGTTTATTCACATCAGGTCTGTTCAACTTACTTATACTTTTTACACTCTTCGCTTTCTCTCTTTTCAGCGCCAAATACAATATATATATCTATCTCATTTTAAGTGTAAAAAGCGTAAGCAAGTCGAACAGGCCAATTGCTTGAAACCCCAAAAAATATTTGCACTTAAAACGGGATAGATATGTATTCAGGCGTTGAAAAAAGAGAACGAAGATGCTAAGTATAAAAAGTGCAAACAAATTTATTAATTAAACAATATGTACATACACACATATGGTAGAAGAAACTTAAGTATGCTCTTGCATACACGTTTCTAACAGCCAATGAAAACGTGACATCATATTCCTCCATGTTGTATTTAATTATTGGGTCATCTAAAAAGTATCCGCGGTTTTTTGTCATTAGATGTGTGTTGATGGTCATATATCTAGTGACAAAGTATCGCGGATACTTTTTAGATGACCCAATATATTTGCTTACAATATATAGTATATTGAATTTGATTTTATCTTTTGTAATAAAAACAGATTTTCTACAAACTTCTTCCCATTTCAATATTAATGCTTTCTGTTTTAGGAAACAATAAAAAATATATTTCTGAATTATTCTTTTCGATGATAATTTTTACATATATATTTATTTGGTAAGTACTCATTTTGATCTCTTGAGCTGTTACTTCAAAATTACTGCAGTGCAGCAAATGTTTAAACAGTTAATTAATTTAATTAATGATCCCTTTTACACATTTAATGTGTAACCAATAACTTTCTATTAAATTATCTTAATTTCAGTATATTATCTTAATTATAATATGCGTATCAAGTGCTCAATGTAAATTAGGTCAATATATTATTGGATCTTTTAGTTCTTTGCTGAATCTAAGTATAAGAATCACAATCATGATAAAGAATCACTTAGCCCTCACTAATTAGTTTTTTGACTGCTAAATGCAGTCAATATAGAAAATTGCTGTTTCTTAAAAATTAAAAGAAAACATTATTTTCAAAATAATTCATTAGAGAACAGAAATACATGTATATATATATATATATATATATATATATATATATATATATTCATATATTATTCGTATATATGATGATCAAATTGAACACGTTCACTCTCTGTGAATTAATATAAACAAGAAAGAAGCACATTATTAGCTACAATCAATATTGTCTAACTGTGTCAAATTATTGTATATATTCCATTTTTGAGTAATTACGACACGTGATATACAATATTTAATTTTCTTGCCACTTCAAATACCTACAATGAATTAAAAAAAATTGTATAAACATTTTTATAACTGTTATTCCACTACCCAGTAAACGAGGATGGATTGAAATAAATTGAAACGGATTTAGATTTTCAGAAATATTGATTCACGAATGTTAAAATAAAAGCTTTTCAATCCTGAATGCATTTTTATTCATTTATAGAAATTGCATGGAACATATCTCTATGCCTTTCAATCTAAAAATAATATTAGCTTTTCTGCACACAAACACAATTGTGAATACTGTATCATTCAAAATTTTGAATAGGAAATGCAATTTTTCATCCAATTGAATCTAATTGAATCCAATTGAATCCAATTGAATCCAATTAAATCCAAAAAAAGTATTCGCTATTTAAAATACGTATTCGGATAGAAAAAAACTTTAATCCATTTTAATCCATTTTCATTTACTGGGATCTGTAAAAAAAGAAAAAGTAATATTGTTATACAAAATTTATTGCATTTAGTCGATGATACAGATGACTCGAGAATTCTCTTAAGGGGATCCTAAAGTGAAACCTGAACTCCAATGAAATTGCTATTTTACCGATAAAATGCGACACATCAATATATTTTTATATGCTACTACATCAATATCGCACTTATACATACGTACAAACTTTCTAATTAATCTTTCATATTAAATAAAACCTATTTCTAAGTACTTAACATTGTTTATGTAATCTCTAGATTCTAGTCCAAATCGAGATTGTTTTATACGAAGCATACATTCGTACATAAAGCAAACATTATTATATGAGTCGACGTTAAAAGTCAATAACAAAAAATCAGTAACTGTTTTCTACGTTTTTTTCGTTTTTGACCTAAAGTCAACCGGTTTGGATTACATTATCATTCACTAAGCGCTAACTAATTAAAGAACGATTGATATCATATTTTTAATTTGATACTTAGAATTCAACAAATCTTACTTTGCATTGTGAATTTGAATATAATTTACTTATACTTTTCCTTATTATATATATATATATATATATATATAAGAATACAAAATAAGACGAGAAGTAAATAATTCAAAAGTAACAAAAAGTCTCAAGGCGTCATCTTTTTTTTTAAATATTGTGTACACTGCGTAAATTTTGTGTAAAATAAAGTTATTATAAACTGATAATCATTTATTATGCAACACAATTGAAATATCTAATCATTAAATTGAAATACGTAAATTATCTGTGCGCGTAATGAATCTAAGAAATAAAGTAATAAAGTCTAATTATCGCAAAAAAATGTAACGAATAGATTATTTTATTTATTTCGTAATATACATTAATATTTCGACGGTGAGACGGTTGTCATGTGACTTTTGGCGCGTAAACTTTTGGTGAGCAGCGTAATATATTTAACGCAGATATTCCTTTACTCGTGCAGGCAGGTAAAAATAATGTCGTACATCTTCGTTCTGAATTTTTAAAATATGACATATGTATTTATCTAAGAACATATTACTTAGATAATCGCAAATGAAAATTACAAAGCAATAAGAATAAGAATCTAGAATCAACATTTTAAAAAAATTTGATACAATTGTACGCTTAGAATTGTCATTTAGATCCAACTTTTAACAGTAACCTTTTGAGAAAGTAATATTTATTTTGCAGGGGCAAGTCCCACTCGGTCATTTTTCATGTCGAACTTGACATAGTAACGACGAAGAAATACATTGCCCAAAATCCACATCGTTTCCATATCTTTATTCGCACTCTTAAAAGCGCTTATACACTTTGTTTTCTTATTAATTTGTTCGAGCTATAACAAATTGATTGCGGCATGATGTTTCTACTCTAAAACATTTTAAAACATTATTTGACAATATTTACCTTAATAATATAATCTTCACCAGTGAGTTCGAATAATTCACCACCTAGGTAGAAATAGACGTAGGGCAAATCAGAAATATTGTCGCAGTCCACCTTTAAACAAAATTTGGTGTTAATAAATATTAGTGTATAATCAGTAATGTATCAAATATTATCTAATATATTTTAGTAATCTGTATATTATTGTTGAAAAATAGCTGCCATTGCAATAAGTGTCATTATTTACAATCATTTCTTCCTTAGTATAAGTAGCTCCGATTAGTCTATTAATATTTGCGACATCTGATGATGGTCCAGTTATCCTGAGCGTGAGCGTGTCGAAAATAGCTTGACAGCCATTCATGCATAAAACTGTATCTTCTATTTCAATTCTACAGTACAATAGCGTTATTAACGATTAGTTAACATATAATTTGTAGGTAACATATATATAATTTAAAAAAGAATCACGTACTGATCTATAGTAAATTTCCAGACTGTTTCACGGATGACATCAACGTACGTTAATTTGCCTTGGTAAAACCTTTTATCGGAGCCACCTAATATCAGTGTATTATTCCATTTTCCAGATTTCGAGGGATACCTGTATAGATTATATATTTTTCAATATAAAGAAACAATATTTTTATAATATAGAAAGGCAAATTTTCTAAGATGAGGGAATGAACTGTGAAAAATAATTTTGGCACAGAAAGATAAGAAAGGGGTACGGAAAGATACATGCCGATTTAAATATAAACTAAAAACAGGTCGTGACAACAGGTCTAATTCAACCATATTGGTGAAAATAAGAGACATGTTGGGATACTTGTACATTGAGGAGAAACCCATTCCTAAGATACCATCGAATATCAAATTGTTGAAGAATCGGTTCATTCCGACTACATGTATTTCTCCGAATGTCTGATTTGGAACATTAGTTCCAGCAATCTACAAAAAATTGATGTTTTTAGCATATTTTTACACTAAAATTGAACCCAAATAGAACTATTTGCTTGACGATGATTTGCTCACATTTATTACATCAGTAGATAAGAATCCTATCAGCCTATCCTTATTATCATATACAAAACTGAAATATTCATAACTTGATGAGTGTGTGCTGGATTTAGTGTAATCGTATCTATTACGTAACGCTGTAAGAAAAATCGTAAGTAATATTAAATTAATATTTAAAAAAAATGGAAATATTAATATTGGGAATTATCAAAGATTCATTAGGTATAAGTTTAATATAAAAAAAAGTTTATTATAAGACTTTTAAGTTTGAATTTTAAGTTTTAATATTGATTTTTACAAATAATATTAATTGTTAGATAATTTAATTTTTAAATCTAATCTTACTTTAACGTTACAAAAAAGTAACGACAAAAATAACTTTACTTTCCAAATAACGATAACGATAACGCATTACTTTTTGAATCATTTTAGTCATCATTTTAGTAACGTGTTACTTTTATGAAGTAACTTTTTCAATTATGTATTATGATATATTTTGACTTACAACAAAGATTAGATCTGCAAAGTTTCGATGGTATCCATAAATCTGGGAAAGTAATGTCAATAAGTACATTAAACTTTTGTGGTGGAGTTCCAATTGTGATAGTGCCATAGTATGCATCATTTCCATCATAATGCAAGGGTAACTTTATAACGCCAATCCTTTTAGCTAAACGATCCTGTGATGATCGATGATCGATGATCGTAGAGTTTATTTTGTACAACGGAATTCTTAAAGCAACAAATAAACTCAATTATATTATATTATATATATCCTACATGTACACATATATACGAATACACGAATGTCATACACATACACAAATTTTGGACAAATTAATTCATGATCTTAAAACACTTCTTATTTTTAAAAATTATTAAAGCCTCAACATTTTGGTATTAAGAAATAAATATTATTTGCATTTATCTATTTACGCATTATATGCTGTTTAGTTATTTTAAATCAGAATTTCTTCTTTCATGACAAAAAAATTAAAAGTATAAACCCTAATAAGATTCTTTAAAGCATTTCTCTATTTGCTTCACTTTGACATGTATTTGATATTTTTCTACAGATTTGTTCTAATCGTTGAAGTACTTATTGGAAATCTATATTTATATGTGCTCACCTTTGCAATTCCGCGTTGATTAGCACGGAAAGTATTACGATCGTCACGAAAAATCGAAACATGTTTCGCAAATTTCCTGATTAAAGTCAGAAAAATTAAAAATATTTTAGAGACGTTATAATTCTTACTCTTTCGTCACATTCAAAATACACAACAGACAAAGGATATAGTCGATCATTAAGCTGATATTTATATGTGAGCTTGTATACTTCTAAGAGAAAATAAAAAAAAATTGCGACAGAGTGCGCAAAGCGTTCTGAAAGTGATCCTAACAGTTTAATTTAGAGAACAACAACTTTAAACAAGGTTTTGAATAACAGTCACTTTTAATGCCATGTTTTAACAACTCCTGAAAAAGAAAAAAAAGACAGAAAAAGAAATAAAGAAAGATACATAGAACAAAAAGGGGATTATTCAAAAATATCAAAATTAATTATTCATAAAAGGATCAAGATAACAATCATGTATCACGGAACAGATATTTCGTACGATTCATTTATAAAATGCGATGGAGGGTTTGATAGGAATAGAGATTGGTAATGTGTTTTGTATATTTGATTTTATTTTACTTAAATTTTCTATCGCGGTCTTATAGAGATTCTCTACTTCTGATTTATCGCCTGAATTCCTCGTATTCATTCCTGTTTCCGAAGATTGCACTTTCTCATTCCGGATGAGCCCCCAATTTTTCAAATTCTGTTATGTTCAAGCTCCGCACATATGGAGCTGAGGAGGGGGAACACAACAGGAACCGAATTATTAGATCGATTTGGTCGTGTTCAGGTTCCGGAAGGGAGATCCGGAAGGGGGAAGGACCGACGCAAATCGGTAGGTACTTCGTTCTGAACGGTTTCCTAACGGGGATGAATGGAGGACGGAGTGGAAATCTCAACTCGTACTCCGTTAAGCGGACTCACGAGTCGAACGTTTAGTTTAAAGGGCACAAGCTAGGTCAGTGTGCCAGGAGGGGCGCACTTTCAGATGTGTCAGTACGTCCGTATACCTTGACTTTCGGTCATGGAACTTAATTCAAGTGACTTAATCCAAATGGGGAGAAGGCGAAGTGCAACCACGAGAGAGCTTACAATAAATACAAGGAGAGGTTTTCAAATTAACAAACGTGGGTGTAATTTAATAATTTAGTACTATAAGTTTAGTACTATTAGGTGTTGGAATTAATTCGTAGCATTTTTTAATGAAAGAATGTTATTTATTTCACATGAGCATTAAAAAATACATTAATGAAAGTACTTCCCATCACTTGTAAAACGCTACGAATTAATTCCAACACCTAATATAAAAGCAATATTTAATAATACATTTTTCTTAAGTATAAAAAGTATGTGTGCGTGTGCGCGCGCGTGTGTGTGTGTGTGTGTGTGTGTGTGGAAAGAGAATTGTATGTTATATAGGCGTTATTTTGTGTGAGAAGGATTTGGAAGGAGGAGGGGAAATTAAAGTTGTGTAGGATCATATGATTGGAGAGAAAGAGGATCGATGGTATGGGGATTGAAAATAGGCATGTTGTCTATTACTCGATCGTTGGTAGGGATGAAGTAGGGATGAAGTAGGACATATATTCCAATAATTTATGGGCGTTATGAAAGAAAAGAGGAAGGTGACCAGGGGGAGAGTAAGCGTCGGTTTAAACGCGAGGAATTGAGTGGTATGCGAGATGGGAAGTTCCTCAATTAAGAGGTGATACCGGATATGGAATCAGGGGAGGACTGAACGGGAAGAGGTCATCGAAAAAGTCTGGGGATAGATCAGAGAGGGGAGAGACAGGAGAGTTTAGTGGCGGCGATAGAGTCGGGGGTGGAAACTGGACGACCGGAATCTGTTTTTGGGTTGATGCTTGATTTAGTGGAGATTGTTCTTTAAAGTTTTCCGAGGTGTTAGAGCAGACACGAGCGATGATCGGCGCGCTATTATTAGTTCCCGCTAGGATGACGAGAGGCGGAAGAACTGCGTGAACGCACTAAAAATGCTAACGAACGCACTAAGAATTTATATTTTTTAATTATTCATTTAAAATACAAAAATAACTAACAAAGAACAGAGGTACTGAGAACCAGGTGCGGATAATTAAGCGCAAGTTTTATAGATTTTTTTTTATCTACGAAACTTGCGCTGTATTATCCACTAATTCTCATTAACCCTGTTTGTTAATTTTTTTGTATTTTCAAGATTGAAAGTCTGTTTTAATTATTATTATTTATTAACTATTTATTTTTAATATGATATTGTAGCATTAAAAGTATGCATACTTATTTATATAGCATTTATATAATAAAAAATTACGAATTTAATAATGTATTATTGAAATATTTATGTTAATAACAAATTTTTATTAATTGTCGGTAACGTCATCGTTCTTCAATTATCCCCGAGTTCTCTGGACTCCATTGATTCGTCAATGGACGATACAATTTTATCGACGATACAATTTTATCGATAGTGTCAGAAAATGTATGTCACGTAATTCCTAAACTGAAAATAGATGTACTGGCGGTAGTATACGAGCGATTTCGACGGCAACAAGAAAAAGGCCGGCATAACCTCTCTCAGGTTTCTCTCTAGTTTCTGGCTTCACTCTTCATAATAATTTCGGGTAGATAATCATTCAATTAACAGCAGTTAACAGACTTCTTTACGATTGTCAGATGATATTCCTCTTCCATTTATTTGTGATTTGACAAAGACTTTGATAAAGACAAGTTCGAATCGTATTTCAAAAGCATATTGGATAGGAGATATTATATGATAACGAATGAGCATTTTGGTTTCGGGAAAAATTCAAATACGGAACCGTAACCTCCATTTACTACATGAATTCATATCAACAGGTAGTAAATACCGGCTCTCAACCGCCTACTGTGTACGATCAGAAGTATGTAGATTTCGTGGATAACGTACTGAAGGAAGTAGCCGACGATTTTGAGAGAGAGAAAAAATGTATGTGACACATTACGCCGTTTAATAACTTGATACAAGTCTGTTTCTTTTTCTTTTTTTTAATTTATAAATGAAAAGAGAGCGTATGCACGAATTTTGCTTATTCTCTCAAAAATTATCGCGAATATAAAAACCAGAAGAATAATGAAACCCTGGTGAAAAAATTTGTCCAAATGTGTCCGAAATCATCCTAAATGTTTCCGAAAATTATCGAAATTCGGACAAATTCGGTTACAAATTCGTTTACATAAAATGAGATACTTTTCATCAAATTTCGGTAATACTGTCTGAATTTGTTAGAATTTGTCAGTTTTTATATTTTTCAGAAACTGACAAATTTTTTCCACCAGGGAAGAGATTTAAGTTAAATAGACAAAGGATAGACAAAGGTCAACAAAGGTCGATATTGCAAACACTTTGAAGCGTTTTTTATTTAGTCAGTTTATAAAATTCTTTCTTCCAATTGGTTCATCAAATGCTTCAAAGCATTTGTAGCGAGACTTTGACCACAGCCAAAATCTGTAACAAATAAGTACATAATAAATTTTCTTTATTTTTAATTTTGGGATAAAGATTACATATGATCATAAAAGTGTGTTAAAATAAAAGCATTAATTTTCTTAATCTGATTTTTTACTTTTCATTTTCTTAAATTTTTCTCCTTATTTTTGAAAAATTATCGAAAATATTTAATCATTTTCAAATGAAATCAAAACTTATTAAGTATAAATATTTATAATCTATTCGGCAATAAAGTGATAAATATTTTCAGTCTCCGATCAAAATCTATTGAAACTACACAAGTTGTTTGATGGAGTATTTGAAAGAGCCTTAGATTTGTACGAGCAACAACGAGTGACACAAATTTCTACATCCAATACGATTATAACAGAGCCGTGCAAAGGGATTAACGAGGCCAGCTGGTTAATGCAAGTTAAAGGGCATTCTGGAGCATTGTACACACTTTTTCCAGAAATAAATTATTGTACTTGCGCTGCTTTCAGGTATAATATCCTATATAAATAAATTATTTATTAAAAAAAAACAGAGCAATTATGTTTTTTACATGTATAAGAAGAAATATCTCTGGCACATATTATACAAGATATCATGAAAAGTTCTTATAAAAGCTCTTACAACGTTACAGACATCAGGTTCTAACAGATCGGTCTGCTTTTACATGTAAACATGTTTTGGCAACTTGGCTAGCCAGTATTGACAATGAGAAGCTGTTACATCAGCAATTAACACAAAAGCAGTTTAATAATTTATTGTTACATCAGGCTTCAAACAAATATGATCCCCTCTAATACAGAAGACTACATATTGATTGCAAAAGTGGGATTGACAAATCTAAAGATTATAATAGAATTATTAAAAGCTACTAACTTTAAAGAGGTACTTACGGGATGTGTACTTATGTTAGAATATATTTGCGTTTTTCTATAAAAATGGTATAATGTATGATTATTATTTAGATAGCTACTTGCCTCGGTAGTGAAAATGGATTGAAAATCACAGTTGAGGATGCAAAATGTATGCAAGCCAGTGCATATATCCCATCTACAGTTTTTGATGAATTTGAATTGAAAGAAGACGTGACGTTTTCATTAAGTCTGAACATATTAGTGGATTGCCTTTGTATGTTCTGGCCTACTTCACAAGAAGATTCCGTCACAGTGCAAATATTTTACAAAGTAAACAAAAAACGTGCCATTTCAGTATAAAACAGAATAATTCTCATCTATTTTTAAATTAAAAGTCCGAAACAAAAAACTTGATATAAATTCTTACATTTGTTTTTCTGAATTATAAAGCCTGTTTTTTAGCTTTTATTGTTTATTTTGTTTTTCTTTCTTTTTTTAATATAGAAAGAAAAAGAGAAAAAATGAACAATGCAAGAAATTCAATTGAAAAGGAAAAATTTATACTAAAGGAGCGAGTTTAAAAATGGCCAATTTTATCCATGAACGGAAACCTATAAAATCTCAAAAATAATTAAAGGAGTCTTATTACATAAAAAATTTAGAGTTTAAAAAAAGTGATCTTCATGTAACCTTAAAAAATCAATTTATTTCGAACATTGATCTATTGCCGTTTCAAACATACAACTTTTATCTGAAACATTTTTGTCTAACGGGTTCAGTTTTCGATATATTTCGATATTTCATTTATTTTAAATAGAATATCCCATATATTTATAGATCTCCCTGGTAGTGTATTATTACAGTATTTAATAGTCCCACATGTATTAAATGTAAACACATCATTAGTTTTGATATCTAACATTCATTAGAAATAAAATGAGTTTTTTTTTTTGCAAAGCGTTCAAACAATCTAATTTATTATTTTTGAAAGATTTTCCAAACTTTCCTGCATAAATAAACTTTCTTTTATAAATGTATGGACTTTTAAGATGATAACTGCATAGATTTCCGTTTACAGGTGTCCGTTCACGGCCAAAATTGGTCATTTTTAAATTTTCTTCTTTAAAAACAATTCAAACTGCACGTATTTAATTGTAATATTAAAGCAACGATATCATTTTTTTATTGCTGTAACAATATTGATATCATAATTATTCCTTGTAGGGTACAGGCTATCCTCTAAGTATTATCATTGAAGAAGATGGAATTATAACAGACTGCTCGTTGAAAACTTTAGAAGTAGAGGAATTGTTAGATTTCCATCTTGATACAGAAAACGTTGTAAATAAAGTAGTGTTGCAAACAGAATTATTGAAGGCTGTCATGGCTGAATTAGATCCAACTAGTCAACTAGTCAAGGTATAATGAGCGATTTCAATTTCAACTCGAGTTTTAAAATATCTAGAAATTTAATTTTTTTTTTATTTTCGGCTTCAACGTCTCTTTGAAATATAACACTTTCATGTTCTAGTTATGTTTATCGCCAGAAAAACCCTTCTTCAGAATTAGTTTGGAAAGTATAGGCAGCGTTTGCCACATCGACTTACCACATGATAACGATTTAATAGACACATTTCAATGTACGACAACGGTTACATCCACTTTTAAATTAGAGTATATTAAACCGGCAATGAAAGCGTTATCATGTGCAAGCAAGGTTTCCCTAAGAACTAATAACGCCGGTCTATTATGTTTTCAATATATGATTAAAACCGAAAATGGAAATACATGTTACATGGAATATTACGTAAGATTTTTTATAATTAATTGAACAATCAAATATAAATCAGAGTATCATCGTAATATTAATTTAATACTAAATAGTTTTCACAATTGTATTTTGTATAATCTTATATTTTGTAATGCATATATCTGATATATACGATAAAAATTTCTTATATTTCGTTTACAGATCTCTCCATTAATTGAAAATTTGGAATGATGAATAGTGATGATATAAACATATCAAATCAAAAATAAAATATATTCAGATGCCCATTTTATGTATAAAAATTACTTTAATAAATACTTAAATATTTTTTCTACATATTTTTATTGATTATTTTTTCTTATTTTTAAAAATATATTTAATATTTTAGATTTGCTTTTTAAATAAATATTTTATTTCGTTATACATCATATACATCATATACAACATATTTAAAAGAAGTTAGCAGTCAGGAAACTTTTGAATGAAAACACATGTATATTTTCATTAGACATTATTATTATTCGTAGAAAAAAGCAAATTCATGGAATAGCTAGTACAGCAATTGCTGTACGTGAAACATAATTCGCTGATGATATTACATATTTTATTATGTAATATGCTATACATAAATAGGAAATGTGCACAACAGATGGATCAATTTATACTTTGATTATCATTCGATACATTTTTTTTGCGAACGCATGTAAATATGTGAGTTTTAACTCTGTAAAAAATGTAAGTTCTATAATCTCTTTAAGTTACATTTCAACGCGAGTTACAATTAGCTTATACATACAGTCCAATATCATGGCAGCATGATATATCCAAACATGTCTAAAAAAACATCTTTTAGATATCTCTTAGAGGTATATAAAAGATGTTTTTTAGATATACTACATTTTATAATTGGGTATCTCATTCACGCTCAAGCGAAGATTTCAAACAATAATTTACACGTTTTCAGAAGCTATTATACTTTTGAAGCACCTGTATGAGTTGTGCACGCGCCACCTTCAACTTTGGTACTGGCCTTATTCCTGAAGTTTGTATACCCTTGTGCAGACTATGTCATCGACCTTCATGATCTACAACAGAAATAGTATATAACGCCAGTTAATATTTGACGATGATAGAGCTCTCCGACGTAACGGTAATCTTTTGGAATTATTAATAGCAGTAGTTTCTGTAAGTAGAAGAGCGAAAGAGTGGGAATTATCCCCATGCCGGTGTCTCACGGTATTAACACGTATCGCCAGACGGATCAATGGATCTTTATTGGCACCGTTTCGGAGCTCGGTACTGTAGAATTGTACGTGTCACGAACAGGAGGAGCGCACGCGATAATTGGCCGGACATTTGTCGAATCATTATAACATTAGCCGCTCGTGCAACGGTCCCTCGTCACGTTCCTCCACGTATAGCTTTTGTACTTTAATTGATAACTCCTGCGCCCGCATCACTGTGACACGAATCAAAGTTCAAGTTGTTCAGAGAGGAAGGATGCACGCACACGAGTGACAAGTGCATTTTCCACCACTATTAACCACGTCATTCTCACAACTCATGTTTTGTTGCAATCATCATTCCTATAACTCATGTTCTATTGCATATCATCCGAGTTCGCAGGTTGAGTAAGGTTTTTAAAACGCTGCACGTGAAAATCATGAAAATTGCTCTCGGTTTAAAGAAAAAATATAACCATAAGAGAGAAAACAATTCTTCTCAGGATACCTATTTTCGTAATTGTTAATGCAATTAAAATATATGTGCGTCTAAAATCTTGAAAAAAATTCTCAAAATATTTTTCATAAAAGAATTCTTCATATTTTAAATTTATAATAATTTCTAACAAATACCTTAAATTTCTTCAGACTATGAATGTTTTTCGGAAAATAAAATCTTAGTGTATATCAGAATTTATATGCTTTTAGAAAAGGTGTAAATTTTTTTGGTATTTCTGTTTCGTTTTATATATAAAAAGTACGAGAAATTTTTTAAAAAGACAATACAAAATACCAAAATTTTGAAATTTATATAAAAATCCTGAAAAATTACATAAAGAATTCTAAAAACAATTTTCTCTAGAATGCTGTAATTCGATATTATAGAGCGATACATCGATAGATATATATACAAGCGTTAATGTTAATGATGTTTCCACAAGCATTCTCAAGAAACAGACACTAATTTATTTTAGTCCATAACCGGATCTCGCGCATTTATCACATAAGACAAGTGGAAAGATGAAATTTTTTGCTTAGTGTTTACGCGACTGAAGGTCGACATTACCTTGCTGCTAACTTTTAATAGTGTTAATAATAAATAGCGACGTAGTTTGATCGATAAAGCTCGTTATATTGATTTATGGATAAAATATTGACACGAAACCTTAAGTATCAATGATTTAATCGCGTCGCGAATGAATTATTTATTAATAAAACTTGTAAAAAAATATATAAAATATTTATGTTCTTCGTTTTTTTAATTTTTAAAAAATATATAGTTTATTCCAAGAAACGTAATAACATTTATAAGTTATAATATATTTACAGTGAATGTAAAAAGTATTTATATGTAAGATTTTCATTTAAAAAATCTTATTTGTAAAAAATAGACATTAATTAGCAACTTATTAACAATAAGTATGTTTTAATTTAATATAAACAAAAAAAAATTTTACAAAAATAACTTAGAATTAAAAATTCTCGACTATGAATATTTTCGGTGTCCAAATAATACCATATTTCACTTATTACTGATATATTTTAATTATTGCACATAATTTTAAGTGAAATAATTTTGAGAAATATACAATCTATTTGTCCTTTGTTAATAAATTGCCAATTATTAATTAATATTTACTTTCTAAAAATAAGATTTTTTTCAAAAGATATCTCTCTTATACAAATACTTTTTGTATTCATTATAATATAAATCATATAAATATTTTATTTTAATCATCTTTATTGCAAGTGATGCGTGTGAATATTCGAAAAATAAATTATTAATTCTAATAATCTTCTAAAATCTCTTACCGCCTTCATCTCCGTAGGCCCGAATTCCCTCTCGATCGTAGTGCCCTTCTCGCCTTTTTGCACCTGTACGAGTTTGTTATCTTCCAGAGTACAGATGCTCTTCACCTTCCTGCCATCTACGGTCTCCTCGTCAAACTCCTCTCCAAGTTTGAACTTGATTTCGGTATTTTTGAAAGCGCTGGATGTCTTCAGAATGTACAGTCCGTCCTTTTCCGTCAATTCGACAACGGGACTGACGCTGCTACCCATTTTGCGCGTCACCATACCTACGCCTGAAAGAAGAATATAAGCTGCTTTAAAATCACCTACGCTTTTCATCAGTTCTATGAAATCTTAATCTGCTGGATGTATTTATGAGTCACACAGATGACTCATCGCAGAATATTAATTTAATAATTATTCTCGCGAAAGCGTTCAATTTAATTACGAGCTATTAAAAGAGAAAATATTCAAGACATCTGTTCCAGGCCAAAAAATTGGAAACGTTTTTTAAAAATTGAAATTTTTAAGTGGGAGTTTAAGCATTGACTTTTTCAGCTTCAGTAAAAAAATATTAGGCACTTATATTTTTTTGTTCATCTGAAATTATTTTATCTATAGATGTTATACTGGCTACTAGAATTGTACAAAGTTATAAGGTCCATTCAAAAATGTCAATTTTTAAGAAGTCTTTCCAAACTTTGGCTTGGAGTGAGCTCTTCCTCCATATGCTTGCAAGTTCACAAGTTGCTACTTAAATTTAACAGATTGAACAGCCTAAACAAATATAAAGATAAAATCATATAGCGATTGGAAGTGCGTCAGGCTCGATCAGGATAACTTTTAAATTACATATCTATTAAACTCTACTCGAAGTTGAATGGCAAAATGAATATTTATCTGCTAGCTGATAAAATTCTTCGAAGCTTATCTCTCGAGAAGCACTTCGTTTCCTATCGATGAAAGACCGAACCTAAGATCGAGTTCTCGATATTCTTTTAGAGAAAAGCAATTCCTCGTAAAGAATATGCAAAGAAAAAATACACGCATTTGTCGATCTATGTCACATGCACTTGTAATCTACTTGTATGTCAATGGATCAGGGATCGATTTCTTTTGAAAAATGGATTTACGTGCTCGTCTCACCTAAAGCTTTCATGTATTCGTCAAACTTTTCACTAGATTGGAGCTTGTAACGCTTGCCCAAGATACCGGTTAATATTTCCGACGACATGGTTCGATCTATCACCGACGACTGCGAGAATAAAACTGACTAACGATTCGACTGGTTTGTATGCCTTATGCTCGCTTCTGCGATTGATTAGACTTTATATCGTAGGTAGGTTCATCGTGATGTGGAACTCGGTTCCGCGTTGAAAACCGACAACGTGAGAAGTAAACTTTGAAGTTTGACCCACCGATCGCGCTATTTATAGACTTCGTGAATTATCATCCGCAACTGATATTATGTGAGCGTATGTGAATGTAGTACATGTCGCTTTGACATTCAAGAAGCACTTAATAGATTCTCAAAGTAGAAATCTTTTTAGTGATAAATGTCTCTCAACTCTCATTTTCAAAGCGATTCAACTAAACTAAAACTTTCGAAAGTATCTGATAGTTTGCGTCAATCGCTAACGGGAAATACATCACGTTCATCCGCGAAATGTCAGCGTTTATTTATCATCTTAGGATGATTAATACTCATTAATACTCTGATTAATAAATTCGCGATTGGTCATGATTCTTTTCGCAAAGCTGTTCGAAATTATCTGCTATTCGCGAAATCGATGAAATAATTGTCGCTCAATTTATGCCTATTTTTATCACTGTAGATTAACATTATCAGTTCAAATTACTCTTCATCTTTCTCTATTTCTTAAAACCAGGAAAAGAAATAAATTGAAGTTGAAAAATTGGAGAAATCGAGATTAAAGTGTTAATCTGATAATGTACAAAACAGATTCTATTCCTCTATCTGCTAACGTGGATCTGTTTTGGCACATTGAAAAAAAGAGTGTACTGAGTGCAAAATTTCAAATTAAAAATGAAGGAAGCCGAAGATTCTGATTATATCAAGAATTTTGGTTATCTCAACTAAAATAGTGGATTTAATCAGAAAATTCTGATTCGTTTTCCAACCAGAATTCCAATTAATACAACCAGAAACTCTTTTTCCAGTGTGATAATATAGCTACCAAAAGTTGAAATAATTTCAATTAAGTATTCGTTTATATATATAACCAAAATAATTTTACTTTTCTAAA